ATTTTAAGAAACTGGATTGACTCACTCAACATAAATCTCTGCAGATTCATCCAGGTTGCTGCATATATTACTCACTTTTGTGCTCAGTGGTGTTACCTGGTATAGAATGGATCAAAGCTTATTTAACCATCCACTCATTGAAGGACATCTGTATTGTTTCCAGTTTGGGGCTGTAATGAGTAAAGCATCTATAAACTCAAATGTAATTTTTTTGGTCGTGGTGGTACGGGGATTGAGCTCAGGAACCCTACATTCCAAGCCCTTTTTATATTTTTAAATTTTGAGACAGGGTCTTGCTAAGTGGTTCAGCCTGGCCATGAACTTGTGATTCACCTACCTCAGCCTTTTGAGTAATTAGGGGTTTTAGGTGTGTGCCATCACACCTGACTCATGTGGAAGTTTTGAGTGACCACAAGCCTTCATTTCTCTGGGATAAATGCTCAGGAGAACGTATTCTGGGTCATATGGTAGTTACGCTTAGTTTATTTTTTTAATGAGGATCTGACAAAATGTTTTTCCAAAATGCTGTATATTGTCTGCTGCTACCACTGATGTATGAGTGATCTCCATTCTCTGTGTCCTTACTAGCATTTGGTGGAATCAGTATTTGTTTTCATTATTGTAATAATTGCATCAAGTCTGTCCTCACCCTAAAGCATCTCCTTTAGTGCTACCAGATTTCATTTTTAGATTTGTGCCTTAAAAAACTCAGAGGAGAGTACATTCTGGAAGAAATGTTGTGAATATTTGGATACATCTACTTTAGGGAAAGACCTTGGTTACAACTTTTGTGGAGTCTATTAAGTCTATTAAGTCGATGGCTAAAGTTAGTAAGTGGATGAAATGCCTAAACCAAATGGATGGAGGAGAAAAAGGCTGAGGACAGAGTCCTGAGAAGCACATGTGATTAGGGTTGGGTGACTGAGTAATCAGAAAATTAAGAATATACTCTGCAAAAAAAAGCAAGAGTAACTGGGCATGGTGGCATATGCCTCTAATCCCAACACTTGGGAGGCTGAGGCAGGAGGATTGCCATGAGTTTGAGACCAGCCTGGACTACCCAGCGAGTCCCTGTCTCGAAGAAGTTCAAAAAAAATTATTTTTTAAAAGAGCATATGATGCAGTGTCAGATACCCAAGAGAGACAGTTTAATAGGAAGACTAATGGCATATCTCTTGCATTGTATCTAAAGGGATCACTGTTGATATTTGCTCAGCAGTTTCAGTAGAAATGAGGGAAGACATTGCTCTGAAGTTGCAGGGGAGGGTAGGGGAAGGTAAGTGGTGATACTGTACTGTTTGGGTATTTTGTTTTATACCTTCCCCGAGAGGGGATAGTCTGGCCAACTTCCTCCAGTAATGCAATAAAGACATTGTAATAAAACAAAAACAAAAACAAACAGAAATGAGGGAAGAATTCTGAGGATACTTCTTGAAGTAGGAATGGGAAGTAAAGAAGTACAGGTAATCATTGAGGACCATTCTTTGGACTGAAGAGTATAAAGGAACAAATAATACCTAGAGAACATTACTGAAGAAAGTTTTTTAAATAGGGGAAATGTTTTTAAGCTGGTTAAATTAGTGTTGAGAAAGAGACTGAAAATATTGGGGAAAATCTTATAAATTGTCAATGAAGAGCATATAATAATACTCCAAATTCATTTAATGAAAAGATACACAGAAGAGAGATTTATGGAGCAAGGTTCTTTTGGAGATGGGGCAGAATTTAGTTTCCAGTGGAGGGGAGGAAGTGAATGGGGTAAGTGTGATTAATTTGTGTTTTGTTGAGCTCAGCCTGATAGCTTTTCTCATCTTTGCAAGGTTCTCTGAGGTGGAGTAAAGAACCAGGAAGAGTACAGGGTTGGAACAGCCATGGAAGGAAGGAAAGATGGTGCTGATTAAAGACTAGAATAGGATTGTTTGAGTCTGAGAAAAGGTTGCCTGTTTGTATGGGTGTCAGTTTTGTACAGTGGGTCAGGTAAAGTCTTGAAGAGTTGAATTGAGAGCTTAAAAGGAGGTGTAGTCAGAAAAGAATGGCCTAAGGAGAATTCAGGTAGTGACTAAGTTGGAGAACTTCTAAAAACAAATTTTTTTTAGTGTCTTTATTAAGATATAATTCATATCACATCAAATCACTGCTTCATAATTACCCTTTTTAGTATATTCACAGGATTGTGCAATCATTACCATAATTTAATTTTAGAATACTTTTACCCCCACCCCAAAAAACCCTATAACCATTAGCAGTCAACTCCCACTTCTTCCTTTCCCCCATTTAGTTCTAAGCAAACACTCATCTCTTTTCTGTCTCTATAAATCTGTGTATCGTGGCTATTCCATATAAATGGAATTATACAGTTTGCTATGTCCATCTTTTACTTAGCATAGTATTTTTAAGGTTCATCCATATTACAGCACATATCAAGTCTCTATTCCTTTTTATTGTCAAATAACATTCCACTGTACAGATATACCACATTATCCATTCATCTGAGGATAAACATTCCAGTTGTTTCTACTTTGAGTATGGTGAATAAGGCTGATATGAATATACACACGCAGGTTATAGTGTGGGATCTGTGTTGTTTTTTTCTCTTGGGTACATACCTAGGAGTGGAATCACGGGGTGCATGACTCAAGTGATTTTTCAAAGTTATTTGGATGCAACTGCAGTACTGTCTCTACATACTCAATGGATGAGGGAGTCAGGAGTATGCAACATTTTTCTAGCCCCATCTTACCATTCACCACCAACTCTCTCTCTCTTATTCTCTCCTTGTCTGATGTTACCGTCCACATTTGCTCTGCATATGCAAAGTACTCTGAGTTCTGCAGTATGAGAGCACATCAGAGCCGGATGGAATTTCCAAAGTTCTATTATCCCAATCATCTTTTTTTTTTTTTTTTTTGGTACCAGGGATTGAACTCAGGTCCTTGCACTTGAGCAGCAGGTGGCAAAACCACTGAGCTAAATCCCAGGCCCTCCCAATCATCTTTTCAAACAGGATTGACCTACAACCATCTAATTCTCAAATGTCCCCCGAAAAGAAACTGCAATTTCCCTTAGTTGCCCATTCTCAGAAATGCCTTCAAATCACTAATCCCAAAGTGTACACACACTATGCAGATACTGAAGGAGAACAATGTTCAGGTTTTCAAACAAGTTCAAGACATCCTCCATAGACCTTCTTTCTTCTCCCTGAACGCATTATCTTGATGCCAGCTCATTTTATGCATCTATAGTATTGCCATGTCTTAAACTGAGTTCCAGGGTGGGAGAGCTCTGCTATCCTTGCTTGAGGTATTTCTCTTCTCCTCCAGTAGTCTTATTAAATTTATTTTCAGAGCCAACAACAGTGCCGCACAATTTAACATCAAGAATTTGGGGCTGATACTGCTTCTTTAACGGCCTGGAATTTCTTTTTCTTCTCAGTTCCTCTCTGTGGCTGGCTGGGCCCCTTCTCAGCAGTGCAAAGGTTCAGGACATGTACCTCCTGTGGCAGCCTGGTGGTGCCTCTGCTGGCACAGCCTGACAGGATGCTGAAGGTCTCCAACAAGTCCTGGACAGGGTGGGAGGCATTGACAGGCGACAGTTCACACTGGGCACTGGGCTCTGGACCTGCTGCAGTGGCTAAACAGGAGCTCATCTAGGTTCTAACTAGAAAAAGAGGACATTGGAGTTAAGATTTCAGAGGGAAAGGAGATGATCATGAGCTCTGAGAGGGAGCCGGTTAATGAAGGAGATGAAAGGCACTATGTTTCTTAAGATCCTGGAGCATTAAGGAGTTTGCATTTTACTTGAAATTTATAGAAAATCAAAGTGACAGACAGTATTAATCTTTCAGAAACTACTCTGATGGCTGTGTGATAATGGGTGAAAAAAAGGTGATAACTGGCAGCAATCAGAGACACAGTAAGCTCATTGCTACAAATTTTTGCACCAAACGGAGGGTCTTGTTTCAGGAGGGGAGGTTTTCTGCCACATTTCCTACCCCCTTCACTAAACCCACTTAATTGAACTAACACCCCACCCCACCCTCTGTCTGGGAATTGAACTCGGGGAGCACTGAGCTGCATGTCCAGCCTTTTTTATTTTAACACAGCGTCTTCTTCTTTTTATTTTTTATTTTATTTTATTTTTTAACACAGGGTCTTCTTAAGTTGCCTAGGCTGACCTCAAACTTGTGATCATCCTACTTCAGACTCTGTGAGATTACAGATGTTCATTACCACGCCTGGCACCAATCTATCTTGAACTCCTGGAAAGATCACATCTCCTCAGCTGTATTTTGTCCATAGTCATCGTTATTATATACAATTAGAACTTTCTTTTCTGGATTACACCAAGGAAAGGCTGACTTGATGTTTTTATTATATTGAAGTTGTGGGGTCAGGGCTGCAGTGGATGAAAACAGTGTAACCCTTTTCTTTACTTTTTATTACTTTTCTGAGAGGGCCTGGGATTTTTCTGAAACTGACATACAAATTCTGACTTCAATGTTTTTACACTCTGAAACTATATCTTTTATGTTACTTGTCCTGTCGAATTGTGAGTTCCTTCATGTTAACCTGAATCTAATTCATCTTGTTCTTAAAAATCCTAGTATTCTGCTTAAAATATATATAAGAAGTGTTCACTGAGTGAATGAATGAACGATGGCTTTCACATAGGAGGGAACTGTATGTATTCTTCTGTAGAATGCATGGTCTCAAGGTTCCTAATCTCTCCTGGAACAGGCTCAGCTGTGATGCCCAAACAGTTCTCGGGCTAACAAAAAGTGTCGCTCCATCTAGCTATGCTTAATTTGCAAGCAGCTGTCAGGAAACAGGCGGCCGGCTCAAGTTTCTCCCACTAGGGAAGAGGCAGGAGATTGTTTCCCGTACAACAACATGGCGCCTGGGTGGTGGCGCTCGGCCGCGGTGTTCCCCCTCGAGGGAAGAAGCCGAGACACTCTCCGTACAGAGTCATGGCGGCCGCCTACAGGAGCGGGTCAGGGCCTTACGAAAGGGGCTGTCGTAAAGGAGGCACCGCTTCCTCCTCTTCTCCCGCCTCCCACCGGCTGTCGTAAAAGGGTGAATGGAGAGCGAATTGTGGGGGGGGAAAGAGGGAAAATAGGGGGCGCGGAGTCGGAGTGGCGCAGCAAGTGGCTGCAGGTGGTGACGGTGGCGGCGGGTAGGGAGTGAGGTAGGGTAGGGGTCGAGGAGGAGGAGGCCCAGCGGGTCCCAGGAAAGCTGAAGCTGCAGTCTGGCCTACTTGCCCGGGGGCCGCGGAGCCCCCAGCCGGGAAGATGGACCTCAACCGGATCATCCAGGCGCTGAAGGGCACCATCGACCCGAAGCTGCGCGTCGCCGCGGAAAGCGAGCTCAACCAGGTGAGGAGCGGGCCGCGCCGGGCCTCCACCTGCACCTGTGGCGCCTTCGCCTCCTCCCGGCCCGCCCGCCTGCCCGGCGGCGTGCTCAGCCTTAGCGGTTCTTGGGAGCGGTTGCTTCTCTGAGTGCGAGGACACGGGGGCGCCGATGGGAACTCGCCGCCTCGTCAGACCCGGGTGCACACTGCTCCACACCCAGCCCTCTTCAGGTGCAGCTGTGGGAAACCCAGCCCTCGCTTCGCCCGCCTGGCAGGACTGCTGTGACAGAGTGGCAGAGTTCTGTTGGCACTCAGGGCAGTGCTGTCGGGGACAGGTTGGGGGAGAGCAAGCGGTTTTGTGTTGTACCAAAGACACATCAAGTGTTTGGAGGTATTTCTTTCTTTTTGCCCTACTGATACTGAACCAAGGGCCTTACTCTTGCTAGGCAAGCACTCCACTACTAAGCTGCACTCCTAGCCTTTTATTTTATGGAACTGGGGCTTGAGCCAGGCCCTCTCGTGCTACATCCCCAGCCTGTTGTATTTATTTTTTTGAGACAGGGTCCAATGAGCTGCCCAGGCAGGCGTCGTGGAACTTGTGATCCTCCTGCTTCATCCTCATGAATAGCTGGGATTACAGACGTCCCAAACAGGCCGGGATGCTCTTTTAAAAGCTAAAATGTGTTAAGACTTTCTTTTGCTCTCCATTCACTGTTCTTCCTAACCGGCCTTGACCTTGATCCAGCGTCATCCCTGTTGAATGATCCCAAACACTAGTTGTTTCCCCCCTTTTCATACATGTACGAGTGAACCATGGACCTCTTACGAAAAGGTTCAAATTAAGGTGTACCCCTAGGAAGGGGCGAAGGCGGTTTGAGGTTGTGATAACCCTTAAAACATGAAGGAATATTCTAAATTGGGGGTTCTCAAATGTTGCCCAGGGCCAGATGCATTAGCGTCACCTGGGAACTTGTTGGAAATGCAAATTATGGGGCTTCAACCCAGACTTTAAAGAATCAGAATCTCTGTGGGTGGAAACCAGTTGTGTTTTAACTAGCTCTCTCTGTGGCTTCTACAGTGTGATAACAGCTGTCTTGAGTAAATGTTTCTGTTGGAGTTGATTTTTCAAGAACAGATACTGTTGCGAATCTTTGAAAGAGATTATTTAAATTGGAAATCTGTGTGGAGTTTGGAGTAGATGAGAATCAGGATTCCCAAGAGATAAGAGGTCAGCGAAACACTGTGGAACAGACGTTGTGTTGAACTGAAGCCCAAAATACCTCAAAAGGAAAGGACTGCCACCCAGAGTAGGGAAAGTTAAAGTCGGTACCTGTCTCACGCTTTGCAGAGTACAAGTGCTGCATGCAGGTTGATTGGCTGGAAGAATAGCAATTCCTGGGTTAGTTAGGAAGAACAAAACAAGGGCTGAGCTTGAAATCTACTAGTGTGAACAGAAGAGGAGGCCAGAGGTTACTTTGATAGTGTCAGTAAGCAACGTATTTTGGAGTTTACATTACACTTTCCTGCCCTTGTTAGCCTAACCTTGCTTTGTTTCTGATTCATCGGTATATAAGTGCAGTTAATGCTGCAGGAGTGGACAGGATAGGTAGTAGGAAGATTTGCAGAACTAGGAGGCATTTAAGGCTCAATTCTATTTTTTTGTGCATAGTATTTCAACCCCAGTCGATTTCATCTTCACCCTGCCCTGCCCTACATCTACACAACTTATCAAAGACCATTTCCCTGAAACTTCTTAAAGTCGCTTATTCATGCACAAGGCCCAGGGTTCACCTATAGGACTGCTAAAAAAATAAAAAGATTGTTATGCCGTTTATTTATCATTTATATTTTATATGTTTTGGATTCTAACATGCTCTAAGCTTTTTGGAATTGTCTGTACGAAGACTACCAAAGTAAAATATCATTTACCCTTATTGTAAAACATGGTTATATTGTTGGGTTTTATATGCTTGTCCTTTTTGTTTTTCTTTTTTAATAGCACTGGGGATTGCACCCAGGCCCTTCACACTGAGCTACATCTCCAGATTTATTTATTTATTTTTTGAGACAGGGTCTTATTAAGTTACTGTGTTGTCCAGGCTGGGCTGGAATTCAAGATCCTCCTGCCTCAGCCTCCCAGAATGCTGGGATTATAGGCATGTGCCACCAAGCTTGGCTGTATATTGTCCTTTACCACACTGTAATATCCTACTTTGTCAAATAAATGAGTGGGTAACCTACCCTAAGTGATTGTAGTCCAGCTCATATAAACATTTTATTTTATTTTTAAAATTTTATTTTTTTATTTTTTAATGTGCTTATTTTTGTAATGTTGGGAGTGGAACCCAAGGCACTGCACATGCTAGTCAAGTGCTCTCCTACCGACCTCTGTCCCTGGCCCCCAGCTTATTTGCTGTACTTTGGTTCTGGTCTCCCTCAGCAGACACACTCTATGAAGGAGGCGGGGCAGCTCCTGCAGTGCAGCTCATCAATCGATCAGTTGCTTGTTAAAAGAGGAGGCAGCTCATCCTAACAGCCTGCGTTCCCAGGGATAAATTCCTACTAGAAGGTCTGTTTTCTCAGGCACACATTTTTCTCTTACCAGAAACTGGTTTGCTGCCTGCCATTTGTGACATTGTTTCTATGGGAAATGGATTTTCAGTTTTTCTCAGGATGCTAAGAGTGAATCTTGCATGCCTTCCTCATTTTTTCTCTACCACAAGTCCCCTTAGCTTCAGCATAGGGGAGTAGGATTAGTAACACATCCTTTAAATCATCCTCCACTTGTTCTCATCAGGGAAATAGAGATATTCTCACTGCCAAGTTTGGAAACCCGCTTTCCATGTAGCTGTGTGTATCTTTTTCTTTCCATGTAGCTGTGTGTATCTTTCTTTCCATGTAGCTGTGTATCTTTTTTGCTTCTGCCTGTCCTGCATGCTGAGCCCAGGGTTCACCACATGCTCAGCAAGTGCTATCCCACTGAGCTGTGCCTCCTCCAGCCCATCTTGCTTATTGTCCTTTAAGAGCATTTCTATATGAATCATATATTTATTGAGTTACATAGTACAGGCAAGGTCACATGCTAGTGGAGTGGGCTGCAGAGAGGTGAGTGATATCTTTGAGGTCATCGGTGTGGGGACCTGTAAGTAGTGGAGTCACTGTGATCCCTTGGCTGAGACCCCCCAAGCTGGGGGGAGAACTGTAACAGAGTAGAGGGAAGAGTAAGCTCAGGAAAAAACCTCATCCTGGCATGTTGGGAAACTAGGAAGGTTATTGTGGTTGGAGCAGTGAGTCAGAAAATGGAAAAACAGCAGGACTTCACTCTATTTGAGGGCTCATAAAATGCAGAACTTAGCTAAGCAAGACAACTTTATTTTCAGAAAACATCACAGACACAAAGTAAATATCCTCAAGAAATCATTGAGAAATGAGTCGTCTTATTTTGTTAGAAATTTGGAGCCCAAAGAGGGACAAAGCCACTGGGTGATATTTGTGAGGAAAGTTGTATGAGAGTATACTTAAATTTACCCTTGAATACTCTAGCTGCCAAATTAACATAGATTGAATCGAAGTTGGAAGAGGACAGTCTTCGAAGTTTTGAAAATGGCAAACAAAATGTGTATAATGCCAACAATGTGAAATTAAATAACTACTTTAAGTAGCTTAATTTTAATGTAAAACTTTTTTTTGTATTTATATATCGTAAGATTTTAAAAAACAGTTTTTATGATTGGAATGAACTATATTTGTTTTATTTTGATTTACTGAAAGATCTTTCAGTAAAAAGTTATAAACTTGAGTTGTTTTATGATATATATGTGGAATTTGTAGAAAACTTGGCTGAATGTATATTAATTTTTCTCATGTAAACTGCTGTTAAAACAAATCTTTTTTTTTTTTTTTTGGGTACCGGGTGTTGAACTTAGGACCTTGGGCTTGCAAGGCAGGCAGCAGCACCACTGAGCTAAATCCCCTGCCCACAAATCTGTTTTTTAAAATATCTATTTTTAAGTTCTGGTGGTTTCGATTAGGGATAAAAAAGAATTTACCTTGAGTATAACAGATTTGAGATTCTGAAGATTGTGGCTGAAAGGAAGAATAATTACCAGGTAATTGAAAATTTTATTGAAGGATATGGAAAGACTTGAAAAGTAGTGTTCCTAGGTGGAAAGGATCAATACTTTGAAGATGTCACTTTTCTCCAAATTAATTTTTTAGTGTTTAATGTTTACACAAGCATTTACCTTAAGTGCTACTAGAAGTAAATTAATAAGAAGTGATTAAGTAAAAGTATGAGTAGTGTGCACAAGCCTAGCTGTGTGTTGAAGGGGTTGGTACCATAGATCCAGGCTCTGTCTAGGAGAAAGCTGACCAGACCCCTCTGGAGCACGGCCTGATCTGTTCTCAGAGTTCCTGAGTATGTTTTAGTAGTGTCCTGGGCAAGGCCACGTGTGGGCTCTGGGAGTGTGGCAGGGCTGCTGAGTAGCCCAGGCACTAGACCTCTGTACGGTGCATGGTCAGAAGGAAAAGGCTGCTCTGTTTTTGTTCTTCGTTTTTTTGCTTCTGAGGTCATGATGGCCAAACGGAGGAGCAGATCGAAGTGGAACCTGCCTGTGTGGTGAAATGACAGGCAGCAGGGTGGAGGTGGAGCTCCCTCAGCACTGTCTCCCTACACAGTGTTGAGTTTGAAAGACGCTGAAGTAGCAGAGGGCAGCTGTGCACATGGCTTTTGGCCCTGTCTTGTGAGTCACAGTGCTCCAGTCTGGACGGGCTCCTCCTTGTTTTGTGCACACTGTTTAACTTATCACGTCTGTTTCGCTGTGTTGGAGCACCTGTGTTCTGTAGATGACGTCTTCTGTTTTTTGTTTTAGTGCCATGAACAGATTTGAAGCACAAATAATCTGGGAAGAAACACTTGTGATGAATAGGTCAAATAAAAGGCTGAGATTTAAAATTCATAAATAGCTTTTTGAATTAAGAAAAAACCAAATATCCCATTTACAAAGTGATAAAGGGAACAAGGAATTTGTAGGAGAAACAGCCCACAAAAAGGAAACAACAAACTTAGAAAAACGCAACAAAATGCTTCCCCCAACAAAGAAACCCAGCAGCCTCCTTAGTAGCAGAGGAAATGTAATTTAAAAGGTTCTAAAGTTTCAAAGGAATGCTACTACTGTACCTATGTTAGATAGATGGACACTCACATTCTACTGTTGGGAGTGTAAATTGGTACACTCTTTCTGGAGAGCATTTTGGCAAACTTGAGTATGAAAGGGAATTATTTTGACTTAAAGTATTTTAGTAATCTTCATTTATCCTTGGAGAAGTTCTCTCACATTAAAAGTTTCTCTTTGACTAGTGATGTATTCAGTAGTAGGTGCTAGTAGCTATTCATTTATATTGCCTTATTTTATAAAAACATTTGTTTGTAATTTCAGTCCTACAAGATTATCAATTTTGCCCCCAGTTTACTTCGGATTATAGTCTCTGACCATGTGGAATTCCCAGTTCGCCAGGCAGGTGAGTTGATTTTTTTTAATCCGTTATAAATAGTTTATTTATAGATGAAAGTAGAATGAGAGTTTTAATTCTAAATATCTGTAATTTTTTGAAAAATTAAGCACCCCTTAAGTATTTCTAAGGCATAAAAACTCACTTGCTTTTACCATGGAAATTTGAGAGGTCAATCCTGAGCACTCAGATCTTCCCTGGCCAACCCCTGGCCTGCTTCCACCCACCAGTTCCTTCCATTTGTAACATTTTCCTTCTCTCATTTAGCATTCCCAATTTAATAGCTTATCTCCCTAGTGTCTTATGATTTCCCCATAGCCTTACTTTTGGCCTCAGATTAAGACTGGATTTATGTATGTGTAGAATGTCAGTTGTTTTTCTGCGTGGTCTCATGGCTGACCAGGACCTGCAGCATACAGCCACTGCCTCACATCATGGTGTGGAGTATTTTACCACACATCGTTAAGTCCCAGAAAAGAGCAAAATTCAAAATTTCAAGTGTGGTTTCTACTGAATGCATATTGCTTTTGCATGGTTGTATAGTAAAAATATAAGTTAAACCATGGTAAGCCACAGTATTCATTAGCTGAAGAATATAGAGCAATATAAAATACAGAGAAGAAAGTGTCACTCAGAAGTGACCGTCATTGACATTAGGTGAACATTAGTTTTGCTGTATTTGGGTAGAAGGCAGTTTTATAGAAATAAGATCGTAATCTACCTGCTGATAAAAGCATTTAATTTCACTTGAACATAGACATGCTCTTTTTTTTTTTTTTTGAGACAGGGTCTCACTATGTAGTTCAGGCTGGACTTAAACTATGTAGCCCAGGCTGGCCTTGAACTCCTGGCAATCCCCCTGCCTCAGCCTCCCGAGTGCTGGGATTACAAGTGTATGCTGCCATGCCCAGCCACTTGAACATAGAAATGAAGAAAAGAATTACTAAGCTTTGGGAAAATGTTTGTAAAAATATACAGTGTCACTTGACAGGGACACATCCTGAGAAGGATGTTGATAGGCAGTTTGTGATTGTGTAAACATCAGAGTGTTGGTACAGAAACCCACATACATAATATGTTAAGGCCTACCACACATCTAGGCTATGCAGTGTAGACTTTGGTTGTGCAACCTGCGGTTTATGAAAATGTCATTATGTGGCCCATCACTGTATATGATTTCCTAAAAGATTCCTTTGTGATTAAGGTTAAAAAAAAAGAAAAACCAAAAAAAAAAAAAAAAGAGCCAGGGATTTGGCTCAGTGGCACCCATGCCTGCTTCACAAACGCAAGGTCCTGAGTTCGATCCCCGGTACCAAAAAAAAAAAAAAAAAAAAGAAAAATGATGGGAAAAAATTCATGCTGTAATTGTTATTTACTTGAATAAGGTATATAAGGCTTCTATGTAAATTTTTTGCAGCTGTCGGTTGTTTAATCTTTGTTATAAAGTAGGGCAGTTCTGAAATTACATTTTGCTAAATGGAACTGTTTTAATAATCTAAGAATTTATAGTGCCATTGTGAACTTCCTATGAAACTTTTTAGAAGTAACATTTTAAAAGATCTTAATTTATTAATGTTTTGTTTACATGACATATAAACATTATAGAAACACAATTTATATATTAGGTTGCTCTTAATATTCTCTAAGATAGCTGCTGTCAAATTTGGTGCGTAGTTAACTGTTTTCTGTTTATATTATACATAAATATAATTCCTTGGGGATTATTCCATATTACTGCATATACATATGAGGTGCAATAAAAATATATGTTGAATGTTAAATTAAAATGTATTACAACAAAAGATATATCACCACTAATCTCCCTCAAAATAGACTCCCTCCCTTCAGACACACTTATTTCATCTTTCTTGCCACTTCCTGAAATAGTTCTGGAAGTCATCTTTCATGAGTGTCTGTATGAGCTGTGATCAAAAATATTTGTGCTGTCCAACAGAAATACAGGGTCATAAAAACATTAGAATGTCCTCATCCACCTTAGTCACCAGATCTAGCTCTTCCTCAAGGTCAAATGATAATGAAATGTAAAGGTTTTGAATTGATTTATGACATTGAGGCAGTCATAACAGTGTGACTAAAAACATTCATGAAAGGGGACTTCCACAACTGCTTCTAGAAATGAAATTAGGCAAAACAAAACAAAGTGATGGAATAATCTGTTTGGAGCAAAGAGGGGAGGTATTTTGAGGGAAATGATTGGCGATGTGTCTTTTACTGTAATATGTTTTAAAATGTCATGCATTCATCATATTTTTCAATCACATTTTGTATACTTTATAATAGCCACTCAGTATTTGTTGTATGGAGCTACCATGGCTTGTTTATTTATTTAAAAAACTTTTATTAGTAAATTTTGAGTTTGATTCTTACCTGCTCTGTCATGCCCCTTCTTGGTGGACTTTTCTACAAGAAAGGTTTCCTGTACTCTGCCATACTTTCCTTAATGTATAGAATATTTATGGACACTGTATCATTTCCTTTTTAAGTTTTACTAGTACATATTTTCAGTACATAATGATTGCATTCATCTTGGGGAGCTCATAGATGTACATGACACATATTGATTATTTTTACATCCTCTTCCCCTCACGCTCTCCTCCCGCCATCTCTTGGTCCCCTTCCCATTTGCAAAAGATCTGTCTCCCTATTTTGTATTATTTATCTTTTATCTTGCTCTTTAATTTAGTTAAGTGCTGGGTTTCTCATATAACAGAAACTATACAATATATAAGCTGGAGTGTCTGATTTACTTAACGTTATGGTCTCAAGGTGCATCCATTTTCCTACAAACGACTCGAAGTTATCTTTCTTTATGGCAGACTAGTACTCCAATGTTTGTAAATGGCACATTTTCTTTATCCATTCATCTATTGATGGACGTATAGGCTGCTTCCAAGATTTAGCTGTAATAAATCATGCTGTTATAAATATGGGTATATGTGTATTACATTAATATGATGTTTTTAAGTCTTTTGGGAAAATATCTAAAGAGAAATACGTGAATAGAATGGAATTTCTATTTTTAGTTTTTTGAGGAATCTCCATACTGATTTCCATAGTAGTTGTATTAGTTTACACTCCCACCAACAATGCAGAAGAATTCCTTTGTCCTTGCAGCCTCTCCAGCATTTGTTATTGATTTTTTAAAAAAATTATTTTATTCTTTATTTTAATAAATTTTATTTTATCCCATCCCCTCTTACACCCCCGTCCCTCCCTATGTACAAAAGCTTTGTTTCCATTTTTCCTTCTATTTTCACTTTTTTTTCTTGTCTCTTCCTTCCTTTCTCCCTCTCTCCTCCTTTGTTCCCCTTCCCATTTGAATATTTTCTTCACATTCCCCTTTTTCCAGTATCTATTATACATTTTAGTCCTTATTTCCACTTTTGGTTTCTCACACCAGAGAAACAATGTGGTATTTAAACATGTGTGTTCGATTTCTCTCACTTAGGAGTATGGTATCAAGGTCCATCCATTTAGCTAGAAATGTCTGAAGCTCAACCTTTTTTATGGCAGAGTAATACTCCATTGTATAAAAAAAACCCCACATCTTCTTTATCCATTCATCAGTTGATGGGCATTTGGCTGTTTCCAAGATTTAGCTATTACAAACTGTGCTGCTCTAAACATGGGTGTGAATATATCACTGTGGTATGATGCTTTTAATTCTTTTGGGATGATACCAAGGAGAGGAATAGCTGGGTCAAATGGACCTCTAGTTTTAGTTTTTTGAGAAATCTCCACATTGATTTTCACAGTGGTTGTACCAGTCTACACTCCCACCAACAGTGGAGAAGGGTTCCTTTTTCCTCACAGCCCCGCCAGCATTTGTTATTGATTTCTTTTTAACAACCATTCTTTCTAGAGTGAGATGGAATCTCAGTGTTGTTTTAATTTGCATTTCACGAATCACCAGTTGGATGGTGAACATTTTTTCATATATTTATTTGCCATTTGTACTTCTTCATCTGGGAAGTGTCTTTTCATTTCAGATGCCTGTTTTTGGATTGGGTCTTTAAATTTGGTTTGTAGTTTTCTTTTTTTGGTACTGGGGATTGAACTTGGGACCTTGTGCTTGCAATGCAGGCAGCAGAACCACTGAGCTAAATCCCTGGCCCTGATCTTTAAATTTGGGGTGTCTAATTTTTTTGAGTTCTTTATATATTCTAGATAATAGTTGGGGATTTAGCTCAGTGGTGCCATGCTTGCCTGGCAAGCACAAGGTCCCAAGTTTGATTCCCAGTACCGGGGGAAAAAAGAAAGGGTGGGATATAGCTCAGTGGTGCT